ACACACACACACAGATATATATATATATATATATATATACATACCTATGACAAGATGGACCCCTGGCCGTTTTTTTCGGTTCAATGGCCCTTTTTGTCTTGGTGAAAAATCAGCGGCACCGAAAGTCGCCACGGGCGCCGGCTGGGGCGCGGCGCATCCGGGGCCTGCGCAGCCGAGGCCGCCTGGCAGGTGCCGGCGAAGGGGGTCCAGTGAAACCATGGGAAACATATGGGAAATCATAGTCCACGAATTGGGGGATTGCTCTATCCAATCCCCCCACGACTAGGCTGGGCTCACAACAACTGGAGGGTAGCTGCCACGATCCCTACAATGTGGGGCCCCCCAGTGATGTTTGTTGGTTTATAAACCCCATGAATACTATAGTTATTTGAGTACCATAAACCATAGTTATTGGAGTTATGTTCACCAACTTAGCTATCGAACGGGGGCCTCACATTGTAGGTCAATTAGATAATTAGCGTGTCATGGTTCGTGCTATGCCTTGGACCTGAATCAACTGCTCTCTGATCCGATCATTTGTCAGTCCCATGTCCCGTGACTTCTTAGGGTTTAGGGTGATTTTTGCCATAATTTTCCATGCAGTCAGTATTCTTATCAATTGACAATCTCCCCAAAATGGAGGTTTCCTGAAATGAGGCTAGCCCTAAACCATCCATTTTAATACGATTTTCTATCATAAACCAACCATTTTGGGGATCCCCCATTTTTTAATGGAACCCCCATTTATGTAAGTGTTTCATCCCTCCACCCTGGACCGTGCGCGACTGACTCCAGGGGGGTGCGGTGAAATTTCCGCGGTGTTAACTATCCGCGATGGAGATGGAGGACTCGTCATGCATGGTATACCAATGTAAGGAGATGGCCATCAATCCATTCCCATAGGGAATTGGAAGAATATATAATATGGTGATCTGATGAGATAGGTAAATCATGGTAAATAGATGGATTACCCTCTGGTAAACTAACAGTTTGTTATGGAAAATCACCATCTTTAATAGGTAAATCACCTATAAATGGGCCATTTTCAATAGCTATGTGAAATTGCCAGAGGGTATACAAGGTGGGGCCCCCAAGATAGCTAAGTTGGTGCAAAAAACTCCAATAACTATGGTTTATGGTACTTATTACTATAGTTAATGGGGTTTATAAACCATCTTATAACTGGGAGGCCCCACCTTGTATGATAATGATTGATAAAATATATGATATTTGATAATATATGGTAATATAGGAGGTATATTAACCATGTTGTTCTTTCTTATCAAAAAAAGATTCCCAATATGAGATAGATGACCATAAAACGAAAAAACAATTCGTTGATCCTAGCACGCTACTGGGCTTTGGTTTTCAAGTTTCCAAAGATTGGATTAGTAAAAGGTACTTCCATTTGGTGCTATAAACATCTATAAACGGAGGTGCATATAATATAGAATAAGTAAATAAATACATGTATATATATATACATATAAACACACACAGATATATATATATATATAAATATAATACCAGGCGTTGACCAGCTAAACATAATGTTTGTAGGGGAAGGTTGGCCATAAACAGAAAGTATATTGGTACTGGAATCTGACTGGCATGATAATTAAGTCGATTTCACTAGACACTGATACAAATCATATCAAATCATCAAATGAGAGTGGAGATACAGCGAATGCATTTGAGGAAACCCACTGGTGAATAGTTGGTGAAACACGTATTGTTTTTCCGTGAGGCGGTCCAGGAGTCTAAGAATGAAAAGGAAGAATCTTTTTGCCACAGGATGACATGTAACTGTTTTTTTTTTCATTACTTGGGGACCCAAAAAATCGATCCATTTGAAGGCGCAAAGCAACTTGCATGAAATCCATCAGCATCTCCAGATCGATTTTTATTGTCAACTATATACTACCCGTCGGCAATTTTTTAAAAAAACTATGGAACATGGATCATTAATTTTGATGCTTTGCCTTTTAAAATTGCTACTGTCAGTCCGTTTGTATGTCTATATTCACCGAAAATATCTCATTATATCTCATCATATGAGCTACAGCCAAAATTTACCGTAGTGGTGATGGTCTGTTTATGCTGCTGTTTGTGCTGAATGCTGAGTACATTTCAATTACTGTACGGCCACATTTCAGTCTTTTGCCTCAACTCTTGCTAGTGACAACACGCCATGCTGGAGAAAGGAAAGAACAGGGTCTTGCCTTGCAGCAGGAACAGTATGGGTGCTCTAGATACCGCTCTTTCCTCTATTCCTTTTGGAGTTTGTGCTTTTCGTTTTCCGCGGCAGCCTCAAGCTTTGTTCAAGACAGCATTAAGAATTCCCAAAAGGGAGGGTTTCCCAGAATCATTGTTTTGCAGTTTTTTTTTGATCCAACCAGGTGTCCCAACCGATAACCCGAACGATAACGAAACGACAACCAAAAAATGACATAATCCCTCTCGGCCAGACGCTGGCCCATTGCTCGCTGAAAAACGGGGTTTTTCTTGGCGCACCCTTCGGCTTCCAAGATGAGCAGCAAGCGCAAGACATGGGAGGGTTCAGGTGTTTCCTGAATGAGTTGTTGGAACTGAAAGAGGAAGATGTGAAAACGAAGCTTTCGTCAGCTGTGGTGGTTGTGATAGTGGAGTGGTAGTGGTGACAGTGGTGGATGATAGTGGTGGTTGTGCTAGTGGCGGAGATCCATGAAGAAAATGAATGTCCGCTTGATTGTGCTGCATTTGAAAGTGTCAAGAAGTATCTCATCCCTTGCTGGAAGACCATGAGAATACAATGGAATATACAGGGAATACGAACATGGTTTCCCAAAACCTGTAAATAACAGCCCTCAGTTGCAGTCACCTTATGATCCTTTGAAGTCCCATTGTAAATAACCCATTAAATCCCATTAAATCAGCATTTTTGTTGGTTTTTTATCCCATGAGAAACCACCATGAAAAACCACCATTACCAGAGGGGTACCCCATTACATCCACTGGTTGATCACAAAAAAATCACCCAGTGTTTTCAAAAATAATTGCATCTTTTTGATGCTAAGCCTGGAGGATGAGTTGGAACTTCAGGCGCAGGTGATGGCTGAAAAGGCCAGCCATGTGGATCTGTGTTTCGCGGCTTCCAAGAGGACAAAGAAAATATCAGACGGAAGGTTGGAACATTTATTTGATTGAAAAGTTGTATATATCTGGGTAAATTATAACGACCTCACTGTGACCTCACTGGAAATCATGGTTAGTAAGGGAAATCATCCCCAAATGGCCTTAATTCAGGTTAGTGAAATATTATAATTTGCCCAGATATATAGAGATAATTTTAATCATTTTAATCTGATTGAAATGTGGTAGATGGCTTTAATGAAACGAGACTGTTCTTTTGACATAGCAACAATATTAACAAGATTTACATCACTGCCCTCAGAACTACACCAGCAACATTTTTAAACAAAATATGAATAGCTTGTTTGATGAAATATCGGACCAATTTTGGCCAATGAGCGTAGAATCAGAGCGTTTTATACCAAATGTGGGGCCTATTGAGGACTGTAAACAATAAACCATCCAACATTAGGGAAGCGATAAGTTTTCAAGAATGTGGGCAATTACAAAACAACATATCATTTTATATTAAATAAATCGGATATAATCCCACCCGCCAAATATTGAGCATCCACTGCATGGTTATCCTTAAACCCGGGAAATTTGGAGGTTTAATTTTGGGAGATAGGATTGTCACCCCCGAAAGAAATGGAGCGATCATGACCAAAACATGGATATACCAGGATGTAACCAAGAAACACCATGCTAGGATAGATTACAATCCCCAAAATGACAATAGACTATTGTAGGATTTCATAGGAATGACATCCGTGGAAAAGAATTGGATGTTCATTTTTGGGAAAAATCGACTTCAATGCCTTAACTTGTTGGTTCTTGTAGCTTGAGTCTTAGTTTTGATCTCTTTTCATGCCAGCAGAGGATCCGACAACTGGCCAGCAATTCATTGCATCGCCATGGAATGGACTTGGGCCATCTACATGCTTTTCCTCCAAAAGGGAAGTGGGCTTGAGCTGTTGTGTTTTTATTCATTTAGGGACTGCTCGAACTCTGCTTGGAAGATGAGTTTCGACATGTCAATGAAGCATGTTGATGCATTTTCTGGTTTTTGAATGTGTTTGATGGTGTATTTTTAGGACCCGCCACCCGTTTGCGCTCGCGGCGAATTGGACTTTGGCTTCAAGTAACAGCAGAGAATGGGAGCAGAGCATGGTGGAAGCACAAAATCAGCAGAGCTCCATGCGACCCGCACCCAACCTGGGTCCCTTGAAGAGTGCAATCACGGTATGTGGGATATACCAGGCATTGTTTCTATAAACCAATTTCACTTTAGTTGTAGCTCAATATCTCTCAGCTATTTGGCACATTCCAGCCGCTGCTATTCTGGGACTATCAGCACCGGATTGATTGAATATGTTGAAATATGGATTGACTTAACCAACGAAAAGATCGTGATTTAACAATCAAACATGGTTGAGGAAACCAATGTGTTTCTATCATGAAATATGGGTGTACTGTGAAAATCTCCCTCCAAGTTCTCGGATTCGAATTTCCCATCAGAATTTGTCCAAGCCAAAAAATGGCAATTCTGCGATTCGTTCCTTGGAAACCATTCAAGAACACACATATATCATATATATCTCATATATATATCATATATATCATATATATCATATATCTCATATATATCATATATCTCATATATATCATATATATCATATATCTCATATATATCATATATATCATATATCTCATATATATCATATATCTCATATATCTCATATATATCATATATCTCATATATATCATATATATCATATATATATCACATATATATATATCATATATATCACATATATCACATATATCATATATATATATATATCATATGTTTATTATATAGCCATATAACTCTTGGAGTTTCCCTATCGTTTTCCATCATTTCCACCACTTCAACCGAGCGGTACACCTTGCCCGCGGAGATGTGGAAGGATGCACGGCGGCGTGGCTTTTCTGGGGAGATTTTTGAAAAACCATCAGACCATCAGAAAAAAGGGGACATGATATATATATATATATATATATTAGTGGGGACAATGTATATATACATAACTAAGAGGGAATTAGTATATATATATATATTAGTATAGAAAAATGTGTATATATATAATTATACAATATTATACATAACTAAGGGGGAATTACTGGGAAATCCCTTAAACCCTCTCCATCAATAGATATTTGCTGCCTATGAATTAGATACTGTATCTATAAATGGAGGGTCAAGTTGAAATTCATGGGAAACTCACCAACCAAAACTGGGATTTTGTTAGGGATTCATGGGAGTTTGTTTGTGGGGAATTCCAAGACTAAGATTTTAAGCGACAATAATCTTCTCAATGGATTGATTTTGGTAATAAAGCATGGCTGGCTGGAAAATCCCGCGCGCAGGGGAGCCGGTGAGTGGTTGGTGAATGGATCATTCTTCGTGACCTCAATGGAATGATGGTGAATGTGAGGGGAATCATCCCGAAATGGCCTTAGTTCAGCTATTTTCAGGTTAAAGAAATATGCTAATTCGGCCAGATGATTCAGAATCACTTTTTAAGAACACGATATAACCAGAAAAATATCATTTCAATGCAAAAAGGAACATGACAATCAGGGTTGCCCTAGTGCATTATGACTATGGGTAAATGATAGCCACCAGGGTTGGAATTGGTCATTTTACTTTTGCATCGCCATTGTGCCGGTGTTGGGAGGAACCTGTGATAGAACATGATCTAACCAGCAAACTTGTGGATTATCTTCCTATAACACTTGCCTATCAAGCTCCAGTTTGGCAGTCAAACAAAAATGTAGTCAGGACCCATGAGCCAAGACATCCAAGACGACGAACCAGAGGAAGAAGAATTGGAAACTTGGTAGCAGTAGGGTGACCATGATGGGCAGGGAAGCTGGTGAGTGGTTGGTGAATGAATCATTCGTTAGGTCTAATGTGGGTAAAACCAATGCGATGTGCACCATCCCCAGTCATCACCATTTATTTATCGGTGGTATTTGTTTTTATCATTCCCAGTCATGGGGGTTAACAACTACATTGTTTTACCCACTATATATATAAATCCCATTAAAAAATCACCGTTCTTGTTGGTTAAATCCATTGAACCACCATTTTTCATAGTTAAATCCCATGAAATCCACCATTGTTTTTACCATTCCCAGTCATGGCAACCCCAATTCATGATGCCGAAAAGTCCGGATTCCGGATGGTACAAAAAACTCATCTCAACTCGCGTCGAGTGTCCGAAAGGGTCCTGGGAGATGATGGTGAAAAATGGCCTGGTTTCGGAAAATTGCAGAATTAGATATCACAATATTAACCATTGGTTTTGTGATATCTAATTAATTATTATAGATATACCTGGTTTAATTAACCATTAAATTAATGATATTAACCAGAATATTATTAATATAATTAATGGTTATAGGTGTATCATCAAAAAACGTCTATAAATGGGCCATGGCTTCCATGGCTATGTTAAATAACCATAGGGTAATTGTTACATATAAACATTACTGGTTGGTGGTTTCAAACATTTGGATTCCATGTCATAAATGGGATGTCATCCTTCCCATTGACGAACTCATATTGTTCAAGCTGGTTATTGCATGTTATTGCACCACCAACCAGATTATTATTAACTTATTAACCATCATTAACCATAAAATTAACCATCATTAACCATAAAATTAACCATCATTAACCGTTATTAATCACTAACCAGTTCATAGCTGGTTTATTGAAGGTTTAGCTTTATATGTGGTGGATTTGTCCGCTTAACTTGACTGGGAATTCTCTGCCAGGCAGCCAAATTTAACTTGCACTGAAAGAAGCATCATGTGGGAATCAGCTGAGAAAACATACCCAAACTGTACACTTAGAACATCCTAGGGGGGGACCATATAGATGTTCAAAGTGTATGTGCGGCCAAGCTAATGTACACTAAACTAAGATAGGGGGGTCTCCAGTAATGATCATTCTTATATTGACATATAATACATCCAAATGATTTCCTTAAATCCCCAAATCATCCAAAACTAGAGCATTTTTGTCTTGAAACCTGTTTTGGGCTACCATTGGGAACAACCTCCAAATTATCAGAGACCCTTTCCACAGCGACTGTATGGGATCTCGTTCCGGAAAAGGCAATTAGTTCCAGCAGTCAGTGGAGAGACTGTTCTAAGGGTGGTGTTTACCAAGGTATTAATGGTATCTATATGTCTATATGCATACAAGTAAGCATATGTTTATACATCCAGATTTACCTTCAAAAAACATGGGATGTTCTAAGTGGTGAACATCCGGATGTTCTAAGTGTGCAGGGTCCGTGGATGCTCTGAGTGTAGGTTTGAACATTTTGGAAACATGATCTTCTAAGTGATTGTCCGCTAGATATCTTGGACATTGCGTCCACCCACTAACAGCGAGCAATGCAGGATCCTGTCTATCTATCCTATCCTATCCTATCTTATCTAGTCATCTATCTATTCATCTATCTATTTGTCTATATATATATATCTAACTAACTAACTAAATAAATAACTCTTTATAACTTATTATATATAGCTATCTATCTATACATTTGTTTCAATAAATGTACCTTTAATCAAGTGGGTCGGAAGTGCGTAAGGATGGGGTAGAAGATGATGAAGCTGAAACTGATGGGCGAAGTCGCTCCTCGGGGCCTCTTGGCTGGTCGCAGTAATCTTCACCTTTTTGGTTGGCTTTCATCCGCATTTTGCTTGGGTAAAACGGCAAAACCTTTGTGTTTTTTTTTTGGGGGGGGCGTTTGGTACGTAAATCAAAGCCATTTTTTGGGTTAAGGCACTCAAGTCCCCAATGTTTTTTCTGGTAGAATCTCAGTCGGTCAACTCCCAATATTTTTCACTTGTTGAAATCCTAAGTCGATTTAGTGGTTTATAATTGTCAATAGTTGATGGTTAATCATGGGATATATTATATATATATACATATTTGTGAATGGGATAGAATGGGATATATCTATATGTGAAGGGTTAATAATCTGGTTGGTGGTTTGGAACATGTTTTATTTTCCCCAATAGTTGGGATGATGATCCAGTCTGACGAACTCATATTTTTCAGGGAGGTAGGGCTCAACCACCAACCAGATGATTATTAATCATATATTAACCACGAAATATGAACCATTAAAATGAACCATTAATATTAACAGTATCTAAATCAACCAATGGTAGGTGGCTCAACCACCAACCAGAGAAATTATTAGTTATAACTGGATATTTCTATGGGATTACACATTCTATAAATATTAACCATATATTAACCATATATTAACCATATATTGACAGTATATTACCAACCAATGGAATATGATAACCATCCAGAATTGTTTTCATGGCAGTTCCTGGATTTCCCATTCGCCGATCGAGGTACCCGGGAGGGGCGGAGGCGTGGGACGAGATTTTGGCGTGTCCCTTGGAGATTCGCTTCACCCAGGACTCGCGGATGGTCGGATGGTGGTGCTGTGGCGAAACAAGAATGGTGGGTAGAAATTGCGATTGAGTGGGATATGAATGGGATACAATTGATATACATATATATATATACAATTTTTAATATATATATATATATTGTATAATATAACGGTTTATAACTAACCAAATGTAATTGATCCCTTCCCCTTTCGTATGTTTCATAGCACCGGGTGCTTTTTTCATGTCAGGGGGTGGGATTACCATGGAGTAATTTTGAATATATTTGATGTATGGTATGGTAAACTAACAGAAATACCGGTTTAATGGTGGTTTAATGGGATTTAACCAACAAAAATGGTGATTTTTATGGGATGTACCCTCTGGTAAACGTTTACATAGCTATTGAAAATGGCCATAGAAATAGTGAGTTTTCCCATTAATAGCATGGTGATTTCCCAGTTCGTTATGTAAACGTTTACCAGATGGTATTTGGAATACATGGTGGTTAATTGGGATCTAATGGGATTTAATAGGATATTGCCATTTGGTTATTTAACATAGCCATGGAAAATCACCATGCTATTAATAGGTAAATCATCTATTTCTATGGGCCATCTATACCGTGGCTATGTTAAATAACCAGAGGGTATATTTGGATATAATGTGAACACATGGAGTAATTTGATTCCCACTATTTGGATATATTTGGAATGTAATGTGAACATACTATATGGAAACACCATGGAGTGGTTTCACCAACCATGGAGATCCACTCATGGTAATTTATTTGATTTTGACTGGGACGGAGTAAACCACAAAATTGTGATTTGTGGGAGCTAATTTGATGGAAACGCCAATTACAGGTGGACTGGGGGTATATCCCACTTACCAACTGCGCTGAGCGCTATGGTCGTATCCATATTTCCTACTGGCGATCTAGTGGGCTACTAAGAGTTTTCTAGCAACATCATAGACAAACAAAACAGGGGGATGTAATGGGAATAATGGGACATCACCAATGATATGATATTTGGTTTGTCTTGAACTTGGGTGCCCAAATATATGGCCATTCCCACAGGAAAATGATGATAGAGCCTTGGAATTTTGGGTACCCTGTGTTCAAACAAACAGCCTTAACAAAACACTTGGGTGCAAACACATCAAAACCAGGAGGCCGTGTCGATAGGAACTGAACCAAATCCGGATTTGCCAGACTAATGTAGGATGTTCAATTCACTGGCCATTTCAGGAACCTAAATTGGAGGTACCTACCATATATAAGGCCTGGAATGACCATTGATCAATGCATCTTGCAATTGGGAAATTCATAGATTTTCGGCGACAAAATCGGTCGATATTGTTCCCCATAATCCTCGCGGAATGTTGTTGTGGACATGGAGCCTAAAAATGGGGACCGTTTGTTTGTTGCATTGAAATCCTGTTTCAATTTCCGAACTCATTTGACATATTTTGACATTCACAATTTCCTCTAGTTTCAATAGTTCCTCTAGCCCATACGCTCCATGGTGCTGGAATATTTACCAACATTTACCCCATAAATGATTCAGTTTTGTAGGTAAATATACCATACATAGAGCATATGGCTAGTTTCTTGTAAAAAATGACCGTGAGAAAAATGACATAATTTGACATAATTTGACCATTCGTTGCTACCGGCGATGATCTGCCGCGGCGCCAGGACAAGATCCATCCCTTCTTCTACCGCCGCGGTCCCATCGTCAACGTCTTGCCGAAGATCCGTGCGGTGGGCAACGAGGATGGTTCCTGTGATTTGGTGCCACCCTTTGCGCCCATTCACTGCCTGAGGCCTGTTTTTCAAAGGGGGAGATCTTGGTGTTGCGTCCATTGCATGTGGAATTTGAGAGTGGGTGCCTGACAGTCAATGAACTTAACATGATATTTTATGATGTTGTTTCCTTTCGTTCAGGGTTGTCCGTCATGAATCAATACTACTAAGACTAAGAATTTGCCCCCCTCAAAAAATTGACATTCCGGAACGCTTGGAATCTCTGCAATATCAGCATGCCATCCTGACACATGGTCAGGAAAACGCCTGGCCTAAAAGATGCAAACAAAAACAGGATCAGAGCCGATCATACTATATACCAAATATATGACTCATAACCCCCGCGGTCCGCGGTCGAGGAACTGCTGCTGTATTACAGAGATCACGAAAGGTAGCCTCCTAGCGGGCTACCTTGAGTTTTACTTTGCGAAGCAAAGGGGCGGGCTGGACCCCTTATCCCTGAACGACCACCAGGAGAAAGGGACCCACCCCCCTCCCCCCTCCCTCGAAGGGAACTCTCGCCATATGCCTGGTGAGTCTCTTCACGCAGCAGCCCCTTCGCAGTGTCTCGTCATCATCACCACCATCATCATCAACATCATCATCATCGTCATCATCATCATCCTCCTCCTCATCACCATCATCATTCGACTTGAAATTCGGATTTTTCGACATCCATTTTCCAAGTACCCAACGGTGCGATGAAAGTGACAGGTTCGAGCATCCATAGGTACCGCAAAAAGAGACATTGGAGTTTGTGCTAACACTGATCGTGTTTTTTTTTCCCCCCGCACGATGCGTGTGTCTGACAATGTATACCTCCAAATGGCATCAAATGGCTATTTAAATGGACTAAGTGATGAGCAACCATGGACATCGTGGGGTGCTCTCTTTTCGGATCCAGATATCTCCGCTCTGCTCTGAATGTCCAGTTCCATGCGCCCCCCCCAAGTGAACTCTCGTCACATGCCTTGTGCGTCTCTTCACGCAGCAGCCCCTTCGCAGTGTCTCATCATCAGCATCATCGTATCATCGTCATCATCCTCATCATCATCATCATCATCATTCGACTTGAAATTCGGATTTTTCGACGTCCATTTTCCAAGTACCCAACGGTGCGATGAAAGTGACAGGTTCGAGCATCCATCGATACCGCAAAAAGAGACATTGGAGTTTGTGCTAACACTGATCGTGTTTTTTTTCCCCCCGCACGATGCGTGTGTCTGACAATGTATACCTCCAAATGGCATCAAATGGCTATTTAAATGGACTAAGTGATGAGCAACCATGGACATCGTGGGGTGCTCTCTTTTCGGATCCAGATATCTCCGCTCTGCTCTGAATGTCCAGTTCCATGCCCCTCCCCCCAAGTGAACTCTCGTCACATGCCTTGTGCGTCTCTTCACGCAGCAGCCCCTTCGCAGTGTCTCATCATCAGCATCATCCGTCATCATCCTCATCATCATCATCATCATCATCATCATTCGACTTGAAATTCGGATTTTTCGACGTCCATTTTCCAAGTACCCAACGGTGCGATGAAAGTGACAGGTTCGAGCATCCATCGTACCGCAAAAAGAGACATTGGAGTTTGTGCTAACACTGATCGTGTTTTTTTTTCCCCCCGCACGATGCGTGTGTCTGACAATGTATACCTCCAAATGGCATCAAATGGCTATTTAAATGGACTAAGTGATGAGCAACCATGGACATCGTGGGGTGCTCTCTTTTCGGATCCAGATATCTCCGCTCTGCTCTGAATGTCCAGTTCCATGCGCCCCCCCCAAGTGAACTCTCGTCACATGCCTTGTGCGTCTCTTCACGCAGCAGCCCCTTCGCAGTGTCTCATCATCAGCATCATCGTATCATCGTCATCATCATCATCATCATCATCATCATTCGACTTGAAATTCGGATTTTTCGACGTCCATTTTCCAAGTACCCAACGGTGCGATGAAAGTGACAGGTTCGAGCATCCATCGATACCGCAAAAAGAGACATTGGAGTTTGTGCTAACACTGATCGTGTTTTTTTTCCCCCCGCACGATGCGTGTGTCTGACAATGTATACCTCCAAATGGCTATTTAAATGGACTAAGTGATGAGCAACCATGGACATCGTGGGGTGCTCTCTTTTCGGATCCAGATATCTCCGCTCTGCTCTGAATGTCCAGTTCCATGCGCCCCCCCCAAGTGAACTCTCGTCACATGCCTTGTGCGTCTCTTCACGCAGCAGCCCCTTCGCAGTGTCTCATCATCAGCATCATCGTCATCATCCTCATCATCGTCATCATCATCATCATCATCATTCGACTTGCGATTCGGATTTTTCGACATCCATTTGCCACGTCACTTTAACTTTTGCAAGCAAACGGGTGAAGCAAAGGAACGTCGGCGCTTCTCCATGCTTCGGTTGGACAGAAATTTTCCCTTCGTTCTGTCAAAGCGGTGATTTGCTAGCGCATGACGTCCATATTGACAAGCCTAAGGCTTGGTGTCAGCAGAAAAGGGCCCGGTCGCATGTCGGCTTTCGCATTGAGTGATCCCCCGCGTCCCCTGTGACACAACTACCTTTCGTGTCACCCCTTCTCAAGTTTGCTACAGCAGTTCATCCCCACAAAATATGGATGAACATTCATATATACAGGATGGGGCCCCCCAGTTATAAGTTGGTTTATAAACAATGAATTAATCCCCATTAACTATAGTTAACTATAGTTATATCTACCATAAACCATTGTTAAGCCACTTATAAACCAACTTAGCTATCTTGGGGGCCCCATCCTGTATCCAGCTTCTTCACCATGGATTCCTCGCCAATTTTTCAGTTTCACATGCAGAAGTCCATCTTTCAGCGTATTTTTTGTCCAACATTCGCCACAGGAAGGGCAGCGTTTTATGGTCCTTGGACAACCGCCGGCTCTACGCCTTGCAGTTGGTGGCAATGGATCTCTGGCCCCGGCCCTGCAGGGTTCGCTGCTTGAGCCGTGAACGGCTGCCAAGACACAAGTTGAAGACGCAGTACCGCAGCTGGGATGACATTATATATGGAAACATAGGGAAACCTTGGATAGATAGTAGAAACCCTGGGGTAAATGCTGACATATAATGACATATATATATATATGTATATATAGATGTGGAACACCCAAATACGCTTTCCTATTCGGAAAATGATCTATTTTCGTTTAGGGTGGGTTTGGGTTTTCCAGATCTATTTTCGTTTAGGGCCAGGTCTTGCTGGTGAAAGGTACGCCCACTGGACTGATGGTGAAGGTAAGGGGGAATCATCTCCAAGAAAGGCCATATGTCAGGTTTGTGACTGATTATAAATCCAGATTATGTTGATTGTACTGCACAATGTTAAAAGTTGAATCGGTTGATGTTGAGATATCTCTACACAATTTCCACCCGGTTCATGAGTTGACGGAGAAAAATCGTCATGAAACCAAGAGAACCAACACACACATTTTCATGGCGGAAACGATTGTAGGGACGCGAGGTGCCTGCATCCGTAGACACAATTTCGAAAGGCCGGCCCTTCCCATCTTTACAAAAGATTGAGGTTCCAGGGGCTTGTGAAAAAGATTACATAGTTTCTATGTGAATCAGCTTCATGACAGGTTGGTGGTTTGGAACATGTTTTATTTTTCCATATGTTGGGAATAGTAACCCCAACTGACTTTCATATTTTTCAGAAGGGTAGGTCAACCACCAACCAGATAAGAATTGAGGAATCGATTCCTTCTGGACCACTCGGTTTTGCATTTTGGGGGCACATGGGGGCACTGAATCGTTGAAGCATTTGAAGCCGCGGCACTGCGGCACCGGTCACGTCACCTGACACAGTCCATGTCATTTCACCAGGCCTCAGTACCAACCATAGGTGTCCCAAATTCCCATTGGTTGGTTGGTGAAAAAAGACGGGTTTCTTCAGGTTTACCCCTTTAACAACAGGTTTCTATGATGATAGATGGGATTAACCAGCTCCCGGCCCAAAGCTATTTTTACCAAAAGGACATCAAATTGGTAGCAACTACACTTGCGAAGCCCAGAAGTGACAGATCAAACTGGGCTTCATGTGCCCCAAATCTCCTGGCTACTCATCATGTTTCAAACGGCCACCGGTCATCGGAACGAAGAAATTCCTTGCGTTTTTCAGTTGGAAGTTCCATCGCAAATGTATTCTGACATGACATCAGCAGGCTTCCTAGATATCATGTCAGGGGGATTATGATGTCATGTATTCCTTAGAAACCATGGCTTTTCATAGGGAATTTCCACATAACAGGAACCATTTCCCATATGCTCCGTGTTGCTGGAATATTTACCAACATTTACCCCATAAATGACCCAGTTTTGTAGGTAAATATACTATACATGGAGCATAATGCCACCCCTGGATTAATAACCCCCAAACGGTTGTTTAATTGGGGGGATGCCATTGAAGTATCAGATGAAATGACTCTTGTGGGAATACCCGAATACCCCCCTAATTAAAAAACCATGGTGCATTAATCCGGGGTTGACATTAGGAACCATTTCCCATATGCAACCCATGGTGCTGGAATATGAATCCCAACATTTACCCCATTTTTATGACCC